ATTATAATTATATGTTTTCCCTTTAAATAATGCAACAGTTCGAGCAGGTACGGGCAAGCTTCGGCCTTCCAGGTGTTTTGGACTTTCGGGGATTGTGGGAGTTGAAGTCCAAAACACCTGGAGGGCCCAAGTTTGCACAAACCTGTCCTAGACGCTTGGCATGTTTATAAACTCGTATGAACATAATCTTAATACGATTATGTCGCCGAATTCATAAGAAATCGAGAAACTTTTCAAATGTTATTGTCAATTTTCGGTAACCACAGTTTAAATAATGCAACAGTTCGAGTAGGCATGGGCAAACTTTGGGCCTTCCAGTTGTTTTGGACTTCAATTTAGGGATTGTGGGAGTTGAAGTCCAAAACACCTGGAGGGCCCAAGTTTGCACAAACCTGGTTTAGAGGCACCCTTTGCTACTAGAAACTTGGAAACTGCCAAGTGTTATCATACATTTTCCATTTTGGTAACTACAGTTTAAGTAATGCAACAGTTCGAGCAGGAACGGACAAGCTTCGGCCCTCCAGGTGTTTTGGACTTTTGGGGATTGTGGGAGTTGAAGTCCAAAACACCTGGAGGGCCCAAGTTTGCACAAACCTGTCCTAAACACTTGGCATGTTTATAAACTCCTATGAACAGAATCCTATGTCTCTGAATTCATAATAAATGGAGAAACATTTCAAATGTTATTGTATGTTTTCCCTTTAAGTAATGCAACAGTTAGAGCACGCACAGGCAAACTTGGGCCCTCCGGGTGTTTTGGACTTCAACTCCCATAATCCCTAACAGCCGGTAGGCTGTTAGGGATTATGGGAGTTGAAGTCCAAAACACCCGGAGGGCCCAAGTTTGCCTGTGCCTGAGTTAGAGCTTGTACCAAAATATTATGTACAACAGATAGTAACCTCTGCCTGTCAAAACACCTGACTTTTACATGTGATTATTATTGTGTTCTGAAGTTTTGTGCGAGTTTTATTATTCTGAAGTTTTGTGCAAGTTTTTCATATTTGCTTCGAAGCTCTTTGCTTTTCCAGCCTGTTTTAAATCGTTAACATTGAGGTGGATGTGGGAGAGACTTGACTGCACAGTGTTCGATATTACCTTGGAGTAAATAGAAATTTTACATTTTTGGAAAATATTAATTGGGGGACTCAAAAAACAACAACAACAAACCAGACAGTTGGCCTCTCAAGCTTGTGAAATAGCCCCAATGTTAGATATTAAATCCCTTCGAGAGAATGGAAATCTTGTTTGGGTTGTTGTAGGTTTTTTCGGGCTATATGGCCATGTTCTAGAAGCATTCTCTCCTGACGTTTCGCCTGCATCTATGGCAAGCATCCTCAGAGGTAGTGAGGTTTGTTGGAACTAGGAAAATTGGATTTATATATCTATGGTATGACCAGGGTGGAAGAAAGGACTCTTGTCTGCTGGAGCTAGATGAGGATGTTTCAACTGACCACCTTGATTAGCATTTAATGGCCTGGCAGTGCCTAGAGCAGTCTTTTGTTGAGAGGTGATTAGATGTATAAACTCTTTTTTCCTAGGTTGTTATAGGTTTTTTTCAGGCTGCAGTTGAAATAACCTGAGGACAAAGGGAGAAAGTGGGAGGCACAGTAAGAATCCGGGACATTGTAGAAGCAACTGAGAAAATGGGATTGCTGAGAACTAATCAGGAGTTGTTGTAGGTTTTTCCGGGCTATGTGGCCATGTTCTAGAAGCATTCTCTCCTGACGTTTCGCCTGCATCTATGGCAAGCATCCTCAGAGGTTGTGAGGTCTGTTGGAACTAGGAAAAAGGGTTTATATATCTGTGGAATGACCAGGGTGGGACAAAGGACTCTTGTCTGCTGGAGCTAGGTGTGAATGTTTCAACTGACCACCTTGATTAGCATTTTATGGCCTGGCAGTGGTTTATATATCCCTGGAAAGCTTATTTGTTTGTTTAAAAATGCAATACAACTGTTTGGTTTGTTCCTGACGCGATAAATAAATATTTTGGGAAATGATTAATTTGGGGACTCAAAAAAACAACAAACCAGCCAGTTAGCCTTTAAAATTTGTGAAATAGCCCCAATATTTTTAATTAGTTGTAGCCTCGTCGTCTTCCTGCTTGTGTTAATGATCTGCAATGTATTTGAGTAAAAGGAGTATTATTTACATCTTGCCGTGTTGCATATTTTTTGCATCTCGTAGTTTGGAAATAACCACATTGTTTTGCAAGTGTTTTGCAGCAACAGATGTCCATTTTTGAACTCTAGCCAAAGATTCGTATCTTTAAATTCTGTTTAATCAGGGTTACCCTCTCTTTTGAGTTTTATTACTTCTCCCTAATTTCTACATTATTGGTAGTTGTGTGTTTCTATATCGTCCGAAAGTGTTATTCCAAAAATTCTAAATCTATTCCTTTGGCATTGCTCTGAAAGTCTCAAAAGTGAAAGTAAAAAAAGGAGGGATTTGCATTTTTTGGGAGTGTTGTTATGCTCAATGCATGCTTTTTCCCCCACAACCATAAGAAAGGGGTTTAAACTGAAAAGGTGTCCATAGTTCTGAATTTGTGGAAGTTGTAGTAACTTTGAAATGTGGTGTGTAAGTTTCAGCAGCAGCTTTGTACCACTCTCTTTTAAACAGGGTATTTGAGTATTTATTTATTTAGTAATATTACATGTAATATTACTTAATTGTATTATTATTAGTATATGAGTACATATTGCGTTGTCTGCCCCACCTAGACCAGGGTATTATTGAGTACTTATTGAGGTTCCGGGTTTTCGCCTGCCACTTTTGGACTCTCACTTGCTGAGGAGTTCCTGCAAGTATCTCTTTAGATCTTAGGAAGGTGTTTCTTGATTTAAGGTGTTGACTTGCTGGCTGATAACCTAACAGAGGATGAGCCAGAGATGTCAATGCCTTGGTCCCTTCATTATGGGCCGCTACTTCTGGACAGATGTACCACTCTCTTTTAAACAGGGCATTTGAGTATTTATTTATTTACAACATGTATATGCTGCCCTTCTCACCCCAAAGGGGACTGAGAGCAGCTTACAAGATATATAGACATACAAAATATTATATTATTAGCATAGTACAATATGAGTATTATATATTACTATATTGTACTACACCATTATACTCACATGGGGGTTCTGTGTGGGAGGTTTGGCCCAATTCTTTCGTTGGTGGGGTTCAGAATGCTCTGTGATTGTAGGTGAACTATAAATCCCAGCAACTACAACTCCCAAATGTCAAGATTCTATTTTCCCCAAACTCCACCAGTGTTCACATTTGGGCATATTGAGTATTCGTGCCAAGTTTGGTCCAGATCCATCATTGTTTGAGTCCACAGTGCTCTGGATGTAGGTGAACTACAACTCCAAAACCAAAGGACACTGCCCACCAAACCCTTCCAGTATTTTCTGTTGGTCATGGGAGAACTGTGTGCCAAGTTTGGTTCAGTTCCATCGTTGGTGGGGTTCAGAATGCTCTTTGATTGTAGGTGAACTATAAATCCCAGCAACTACAACTCCCAAATGACAAAATCATTTTTTGAGTGAAGGACATACATTGGGTTGTTAGGTGTCTTGTGTCCAAATTTGGTGTCAATTCGTCCAGTGGTTTTTGAGTTCTGTTAATCCCACAAACGAACATTACATTTTTATTTATATAGATATTACATGTAATACAAAATATATAATTATAATATTGTATTATTATTAGTATATGAGTACATATTGCGTTGTCTGCCCCACCTAGACCAGGGTATTATTGAGTACTTATTGAGGTTCCGGGTTTTCGCCTGCCACTTTTGGACTCTCGCTTGCTGAGGCGTTCCTGCAAGTATCTCTTTATATCTTAG